ACAAGCTGGCTGCTCTTTCAGAACCATCAGGGTGCCAGCGCACCTGAAAGGCAGGATTGGGTACTGGTGGATACCACTCCGTCACAGCTGCCGCGGTCACCGGCAGAATGCCTTCACTTGCCAAAAGCACAAGCGACAGAAACTTGGCCACAAGCAAGTGCCAGTTGTTGCCCAGCAATTGGCACCTCGCTTGGTGCAAGACCACCTTGGTGTGACCTTGGGGGAAACCCTGCAGACACTCCCTCGTGTCAGCATCTGGCACCTGCAGGGAGCCCTGTATTGTGACCAAAGCGGTTTTCCGGAATTGCCAAGAAGGGGTACTGCCGTCCTCCTTCTTTCCATCGTCTCATGGTCTCAGGGCTCTCGTCTCTTCTGCGCTTGGCGGGCGGGGGTCTGCCCTCCGGGATGGCGCTGGGGTTGTGAGGCAAGGGAAAAGAATTCTGCCAGAAGAAACATCAGGATGGAACACAGCATCCTTGCAAGAGGCAAAGTCTTGGCGGGGAAGAAGGTTTGAGGCAGGGATCAGCTAGGTATGGGCTCCTTCGGTCAAGGGGGCAGGGGGGCAAATAGAGCTACACCACCACACACATGGCCGAGAAATGACACCCCAACAAAAAAGAGTCTCAAAGAAAGGACTTAGCCCCTAAATCCAGGTCCAGCCTTTCTTGCATTGCACAGGACATGACAACGTTCTCAGCGAGGAACAAAACCTGAAAGGGCACGTGGGCATGAAACTCTTTCAGCTTAGCCTTGTCACCTTTGATTGAAGTGAAGTCATGGCACGGCGGCGCGGCGCAAGCCAGAACCTTGGTACCCTTTGGGCATACAGCAGCAAGATCCTGCGCCACTTTGACTGGGTCAGACTTGGTGAAATCACCTAGCTGGCGCATTTCTGGGCGCGCTGCCTCGGCAACTCTGACACAGTCACTGCCCACCTCCCAACTCCATGCAAGCACCGGTGTCACCTTCAACTGTTTGAGGGCCATCAACGCGGTTCCTATGTATGCCATCGAAGAAGGAAAGCAAAGCCACGGGTGTTTTGCAAGCAAGGGTTTCACGGGCACTGGCGGCCCTGACGCCTGCACTGGTCTTGCTGGCCGGCTGGGTTGGCCCTGTGGCTGCTGTTCACTTGGAAAGCAAGAAGGGGTTGGGGGCAAAAAGTTTGGAACATAATTTGCCACTGAGTCACAATGGACGGGTTTCGCCCGGCGTGGCAATCCAGGCGCCCCGAGCTGTCCCTAGCCGCGATGCCCAGTGGATGGGCTTGCGACCGGCTGCACGTTGACTTCAGGCTGCCTGTCCTGTTCCGTGACACGCAAAAACTTGCAGCGCTTTTTTTTGAAAGCGGCAATGGCCCTGCTGCCACAGTCTGCAAACCGGCCGGGCCTGTCCGGCGGCTGGCGGGTAAGGGCTGGGGCGCGCACCCTTGTGCTTTCCGCTGCCCTTTGCAAACACCTCCATGCCCTTGCCTTTGCTCTTGCCCTTTGCATCTTCTGGGATGCAGCGCTGCAGTGCATCGTGCTTGGCCGCAGAGTCGGTCATGACTTTCGAAGTAGCAGCCTGTAATGATTCCCCTGCTCTCATGGCCAGCGCCACCGTCCAGCCCGCTTTCAGCCAGTACTGGCGAAGCTGCGCCAACCGCCCCGGGTTGTCCCAAGTCATGTTCACCCAGAAGGTGATCCACTCTGTCACTGCCCACTCCTCTGCCCACCAGGCGAAAATCATCGCCCATCGCACTGCATCCAGCGCATCCAGCATGGTCTGCATGCGCTGTGCCGGCTTCTGCGCTTTGGTCCATGTCCCATCCTCGTCTGCAAACAGCTTGGCGAGAGGCTCATCACTGATCTGACCAGATGCTGTAAAATGACGAGAGGACAAGATCTCTCCTAGCTTCACGGGTGTGAAAAGCTTCGAAGACTTCTGTTCATGGATCATCCTTGCCAAAGTCTCCTCGGCACCGACCAGCAAGTGCACCGAAAACTCTCTGTTTCTGCCACCCAGGATTTGCTTGTTGAAGTCCGACACAAAGTCAGCCCAGTACCCCTCTGGGAGGGTCTTGGGCACCTGCTGGAAGCGGAGTCGGCGCCAGCACTTGCAGCCACCGCAGGCGGCCGGTTGGCCGCAGAAGTGGCCCCTCCCAACGCCTGGTTTCGGGCGAGCGTGAAGAGATCCACCATGTGTTGCAGCCATGCTGTGACGATGAGGATGTCCGTGTCATCTTTCTTGCATTCCTTCGTGTTGGACAAGGTGACACCTCGGACGAGCGGCTCCAACAGTTTCCCAATCTGGGCTTTGTCGGAGCTGAGGTGGAACAGGGCACCTGCTGTGGCTACCCCTCGATCTTTGAGGTAGAGCAACACGTCAGTGTCCGACCCCCCTTCTTTTGCCAAGCTGTCCAAGTCGGGCAACGGGCTAGCCATGAACTATTGCTCAGTAGAAGACGAGTCGGACTCGTGGGAAGACTTGGCGCACGCTGATCCCTCAGAGCCATCGTCGCAACGAGGCATGACGAACCCTGGCAAAAGCAAGGGGTTCCTGAAACAAGAAGCACGACCATAATGCCATTTACCGCAACGGGAAACCCAGGCGCTGCTGGGCATGGTTGCTTCAGCTTGCACAATGGTTCCCTGGCCCTGCATTGCATCCTGAACTGCATTTTGCACGAGCTGACGCAGCGCTTCTGCCGTGCTGGCAGTGTGAACGTCAGGCTGGGTCAGCCTTCAAACTGGTCCTGGTTCAACACTGACGCAGCCGCACGGGCCACTTTGGCAGTGGTGGCCTTGGCAAGCACATGGCCGGTCCTTTCAGGGAACAAAGGCGAGTCAGGGGCCCATCGGTTGCTTGTCCTTAGTTGAAGAACCCAACACAGCATGGCATGATAAGGGCAAATTGCTGCCAACCTGCTCGGCAGGCACACTTCTGTAAAGGCGTGAAAAGAATGTCAACCGGCTCGTTGGACTGACATGGGGGAGAGTGAGCCACAAGGCAAATGCAACGATGACATCGCAGGCGTGTAGTCATTACGGGGCCATTGCCTATGCTTCCTGGGCGCTGTGCGCTGTGGGGATGGAAGGAGGAAGCCGGCAGCATCTCTGACCCAGTTGAATGGGCAAGTAGCTATGCCTCTAATGCTTTGCTTGCCGGCCATCGACAACACAATGCTCAGGCCCCAAGAGATTTTGAATGCAGTCAAGGCGAGCGATCATGAGGCGCTTCAAGAAATGATGCTGTTAGATGACTTCCCGCGCAACACGTTTTGGCATCTTCCTCGTGAGGATGAGTCTGAGAATTTGGAGGCCGACGTTGACATGGAAGAGGGAAGTAACCTTCCAAATGAGTGGGTCCCAGTGAACTTGATGACGTCCCTGAGCCTGGCGGCGATGTTAACGCACACACATCAGAACAATTGGCAATAAGTCTGGCGGATTGCTCATGTGCCATTTGTCGTGAAGCCTGTTGTCTTTCCAATTGGACTTTGTCACCAAAGACTGGAACCACCAGCTGCGGAAGCGCAGCTGGCGCAAAGCTGGTGCCGGTTTTTGAATGTAGATGCGCAGGGAGCGCAGACCCGCTCGCCAAAGTCAAAAAGAATGCGCTGCAATTTGCCGGGCCTGACAGGTTAAGGGTGCGTGGCCTCAGCCCGAACGTGTTACGTTGCGTGGCTTCCGTGCTTGAATGCGTGGCGCTGCTGCGCAAGCGCTGCAGTCAAGAAGGCCCAAGTTTAGCTCGAGTTTCCAGCAATGTCCTCTCAACCGATGCCTCGCGTCGTGATGCACGGCATTTGCCGCGCGCGTGAAGAACGCAAGTGTGACGAGTCGTGGATATGCAGAGAGACCGAAGAAGAGCCCGAGGACAGGTTTGGGAACCTTCTGCAACAGTATTACCTCCTTCTCCGCTATTTCACAGCGGACGAACCCGTGCCTTGGCAATCATGCCTATGCTGTCCAGCCCCACGATGCCGCAAGATTGCGGTGAAACTGGACGCCCAAAGTCAAAGCTTTATGGAGGTGGAAAACCTTGAAAGTTTAGGTTCGAGGACAAGTTTTAGCTCCTGAGACTGTGTCACCGTGGAACTTTGGCAGATTTGCAATTTTGCAACCTTGCCAGGCGGCCGCCTTGCCTGGGCAGTGAGTTGGAAACTTGCAGTGTTGGAGCTGGGCCTCATTGGAACCCTTGCAGACTGGACGAACTTGCAACCTTGCCAGGCCTGTAGTTGGGTAGCCTTGCTTGGGCAGCGCAGTGTTGTTTCAACATGGGCAGGTTGGCAGGGGCTGCAGTTGGAGCTTTGGCAGACAGAGCCACAGTTTTGCAGCCCCGCCAGATCTGCTTTGCAACCAAGACCTGCAGTTGAAACCCTTGCAACTTGTCGCCGCGTTGGGGGCGGCCCAGTCGAAGTCGCTGGTTGCACTTAGGCCCACTGCGTTGCTTGTAGCTGTGGAAATGCAGCTTTGCGGATTTTGCCAGATCCGTCTTTGCAGGGTGCCGTTGCCCCTTGCTTCTACAGTTGTAAGTGCCTCGCAGGTGGGATCTCAGCCTTGGTAGCAGACTTCAACGTCTTCGGTCTTGGGTTGGTTGTGTGTGTAACATGCCTCTGGTGAACTGGTGCTTGAAAGGGGGCTAATCTTCGCAATGCGTATAACCGGGCCAGTCCGTGTTTGCTAGAAGCTGCGCAATGGTATACCTTCCACGGATGTCTGGCACTACAAGGATTGCTTCCTGAAATCGGCTAGCACCATGCTACCGCAAGGAATTTAATATTGAAGGTCAAAAGTCACAAGTTCTTGTGTTCTGGAGTTTATAGTATTGATCAGGCCTCCTTTTTCTACCAGTAGCCGAAGAAAAAGAGCTCGCTGCACTCGCGCTGCACACGCTTGCAGAAATAGGACAACGGAATCTATCAGACATCAAATTCTGGCCAGAAACAGACCCAGCATAGAAACTGCTGCCACAGTGGCTGATTGGTTGCCCCCGTGAAGGAATCACCTGCCCCGCCCCCGCGCCTCTGCCTGCTGTGCACCCCTCGAAGAGTATTGCGCCGTTGGTGGAAGTGCTTCGCGCAAACAGTCCTCTGCATCTGGCTGCAGAAGCAGGTGCGCGCAAGCTCTTTGGGATGCGACACATGGGGAATGCAACTGTCTCACTACACAAACCCTTGAGCAGGCCAGGGCCTCCTCCTGCTCCGCTGGCGCCGCAGTTTTTGAAGGTCATCTGGCCTCCAGCTTGGGCCAGGTCACCCACATAAAGGCCTGCCCGACGTGCGGTCCGACAAGAAGCGCACAGTCACAACCAATATTTCAGCGCTTGGAGGAGTTGTCAATGGTGGGCAATTGTAAGCCCCAAGCCCCTTTCTGCCACGCTGACCCAAACCTCGATAAGACACCACGCGTCAATCTGCCCTGCCTCCTCCGCTTTGCATCTCTGCTGCGCACTTGGTGAAGCGCATCTCGCCGGCCCTGACGGGCGCGAGATCCGACCAGGCAACCCTGCCCAAGGCCCCACGCCGCTCCTTTGGCGCAGGCTGCGCAGCGCCGCACCCGCCCCCAGTCCTTGGGAATGGCAGTCCCGCAGCTCCAAAAGCCCCTCCTGCCAAGCAAACGCTAGCCCGCATAGCTGGCAAGAAAGAATGCAAAAGCCCTGACACATATGTCAGTGAAACAGATTGAATCTGAGCAACACCTTCCCGCGTCCACATGTCCACAGGTCAGCCGGTCCTCCATGGACAAGGAGGTAGCTTGAAGGCAGCCTCCGCAGCCCTTATTATCGCCAGGATCCTTGCAAGGCCACGGAGAGTCTCCGGCATTGCTGCAATTCTTCATCACCATGCTGCCGGAGATTGTCACGCCGTCTGTCACTTGGAGGCAAGCCTGCGAAAACGGCTGCGAGAACCCCGCGCTGCGTGCGAATCTGGGCACAACATGTGGGCACGAGCAATGTTTCGAGCACATGCGTAGAATGAAGCAAGGCCAAATGTAATCAGTTGGAGTATCAAGAAAACTGACACACCTGAAACAGGGAGACTCAACGACAGGAACTATCAGCCTGTGCGCAACTCTTCGTGGATTTGTGGCACTTTCACATGCGCCGGAACCAATCTGGTCGTCTTTGGCAGGTCACAAGGGATCAACATCTCTTGGTGGAATCTATCAGGCAAGGCGGCGCCATCTCTTGGCCCCGCCTGCTGAAATGCTGTACCAGGGCCCTCGAAGGTGACGCTACCCTGCACTGTGAGATTCCCGTGGACGATCAACGGCTGGTCCAACTGGACCTGGCAGCAGCCGGCACCGCTTAGCGATTTCATTGAGCTAAATCAAAGGGCAAATTGTTTGCCTCGAAAATCCTTTTGGGAATCGTGTCATGGTTTCGCGCCGCTGCTGGAAGGGTCCTTGCAAGGTGGCTAAAGAGTAGCATGATGGACAGGCAAGCGACCGCGGGTCTGCCAACTGCAGCAAACATAAATTCAAGGCAACACACCGTGGCACTGTAAGGAGTGCCATGTTGCAACCACAAATGTCCAATCCCCACATGAGCGTTGTTCTAAATCATTGTGCGGGAGGCCAGAGACGCTGACAAATTCCTTTCGCGAGGGCCTACACGGGGCTTCCGCGGCTGCGAGGGTAGCTTACGCGAGTGGTGTCTACATAGCAAGCACAATTTGTTTGTGCAAGTCTTTTTTTAGCGTGTGTTCGCTTACGCGAACACGGCGAAACCACAAAAGCAGAGCTTTTCAACGCGCGGAAGACAATCCGCACAAGCTGTAGGACAAGACACGTCAACCGAGAGCTGCAGCAACCTCACGCCGACGAGTTGGAATCATGGCTTGGGCTTGGGCGGCATGGGCTGGGCTGGAGCTTGCGCAGAGCTTACGCGAATCTCGCGTGGCATTTTCAGACTCCGTCTGCGTTTTGGCTGCTTCTTTGTTGCGCTACTTGTGAACTAGCTGCGCATCCGCCGACAACAGGCGGCGCGTTGGACATAAGACCTCTTTACCTGTCACCCCTCCCCTTGCCTATTGCGGGGGGGGTTCACGTACCACGCGATGATTCCTAAATCCTTTCTTTTGGGGGCTGTGCGGAACACAGTTGCGTAAAAACATTGGGGTGTTTGCTTCCCCCCGGGTCCGCTTTTGCATCCTTAGCACCTCCTGGGCAACATCGCCAGCATCACCTGCATCATCCGCATCAGCGCCTGCCAAGGATGCGGATGACGCAAGTGATGCTGGGGATGTTGCCCATGCTGGTGAAGGAACATCTAGAAATGAAGGAAAATGCATGGAAATGAAGTGAAGTGAAAGAAAGGGAACAAAAACAGACATAAAGGGACATGAGCCGAAGTGAAGGAAAGTGAAAGGAAATGAAGATCTTCGGAGAAAATAAAAAAGATTCTAGGGGGGGGAACTGGGGAGAAGATCGGGCAGAGATGGGGGGGCCCACAGAAGGGAACTGGTACCCTGTGGTAGTAGAGGTCGTTGATTTGGTCTCTGGATCTAGTCCGGAGAGAGTCCAATATGCCAATATGGAGGATTGGAGGATGTCCCTGGTGGGGAATCCTGTAAAGCGGTCTGCAAGCCTTTTTATCAATTGTACGAATGACTGTACAAATGACTTGAAGGGCCTTGAGCCATCATGTCATCGGAGTGTGTGAATAGGTCAATGTGCAACAAAAAGCAACACAAAACAGACATAAATGTCTTTTGACCTTTCCTTGGCCTTACGTGCCGTAGCCATATTTGAAAGTGCCGTAGCCATGTATTGTTACAATGATTCATCCAATTTTGATGATTTGTCTTGTGAGCAAAATGGTAAACAGTCTGTACTGATTCTGTGAGATACCTGGTTGTATCGAAAAGGTGATGCACAACGCTATGTACATGCGGGACGGATGTATGAGCGGACTGTGCTAGTCGGAATCTTGTGAGCCATTCATGAACATATCGTTGTTCACGTGCTTGAAGCGTTCCGCGGGTGAGACCTGATAGTCGAAAATGGCAGACGTTGGATCGTTCGGTCATACCCTGATCCAGTCTTCATGTATAAGTGATGACGGAAAATGGGTTTTAGGGTGCATGAAGTCTCCATTGCAGTGGCAGATTCCCCGTTTCATTCCACAATCTCTGATACTCCTTCATGAGGATATTCATGAGACCTTTGGCCGGATTGAAGACGTGCTGAGTCTGCTGTAGGTATTCGCGGATTTGTTGGCGTCTCCACTGATCGCATCACATTGGTACAATGTCACGAGTGGCAGGATTTCGTTCTGAAGGTCTTCCCGTGCTGCTCCATGGCTGATTGATGGATGAATGTGGAAAACTCCAATGGTAGCAAACGGGAGGTCTGCCCTCGTTACGTGGCGGCTGTCAAACTCGAGGAGTGATTTGTTGGATGATTTTGGGAGCATACCACGATACTCGTCACTCTGCTCGATGTGGAGAACGACAATCTCTTTGTTGAGTCCGTGTCCTTGGACAGTGGTGCGCGGTGGCAATCTCGGTCCAATGTACTTCTTGGATTCAGTAAACATGGATGGTCCCGTAGTTGCCCACTCCCAGTAGATGTCGATGTCGTGGATCTCATCGACGGATTCCAGGATGAAGTCCTTCGCAAACCGGAGCATTTTCCGTTCGCGGCGGCGGTCCTTTTCAAGCTTCTCCTCGCAGCCGCCGGAGCGGTCACGGGCGCCACGCTGACGATCACAGGGGCGGCGTCCGCGGGCCCGCTGGACTGCGAGAGCCTGGACTGCACCTTCACGGCCACGAGCGGCGGAGTGTCGACGGGCAGCGTGGTGTGCGGCAACGTGACGAGCTCGGGCACGGTCTCCGCGCCGCAGCTCTTCGCGTCCAACACGCTCACCAACACCTGGGCGGGCTGGAGCAAGCTGCAGAGTTCCTAACAACAGCGCGGCCTCCGACAGCGGCCCGGAGCTGCGGGTGCTGGGCAACCAGAGCGCGCGGGTCTTCCTGGAGCGGGACGGTGGGGCGCACCAGTATGATCAACAACGAGGCGCTGGCGCAGACGAAGAGCCTCTCGACGCAGCTGTCCCTGAGCACGAATGAGAGGAACCCCGGCTGCCTCGTGATTGCAGACAACACGGGCAACGTGGTCTGCAACACGAGCTTCACCAACCTGTCGGACAGCCGGGTGAAGACGGAGCTGGCCGAGGCCGACGTGGCAGAGCTCCAGCAGCTCTTCGACTCCGTGGAAGCCAAGCAGTACAAGCGAACGAGGACCTTGAACGACTTCTCAGGAGCGAAGGAGGACTACTCGCACCTCACCAGCGTGCTCTGGGGGGTGTGCAAGGGCTTCCAGGCCAGGCTGGGCAAGGTGGAAGCCTGGCAGGCCCAGGCCGACCCATAAGAAACAAGGCTGACGCCCGCAAACGAACCATCAAGGCCGTCTACGAGGATCCCCGCACCGGCTTTGGAGCGCAGACGCTGCAGCAGGCTCAGGTGCGCGACCCCAGCATCTCCAGAGAGGAAGTGAAGGCGTTTCTGAACGGCCTCCGGGTGAACCAGGACCAGCTGCAGCAAGGCTACACCTGGCCGACATGAAGGCCTTCGGGGGCAAGCCCTACCCCTTCATGCTGGTGGCCATTGATGCGCTGACCAAAAAAGTGGCCGCGGAGCCGCTGAAGGACCGTCTTGCGACCACCACCGCGGCGGGCATGAAGAAGGTGTTCTCCAAGTTCAAGAGGGAGTTCAAGGAGCTGATGGATTTCTGGGACATCGAGAAGCAGGTGACCACACCCACGTCGCAGAGCGCACCATCCGCACCATCAAGGAGACCATGTTGCGTCGCATAGCAGCCGGAGCGGGCCGGCGGGGCCAGTGGCATTGCCCTCGGGTGTGGGGTAGTTGAGACTGGTCCATCGGCACCACTTCGTACAGGGAAGTGAGAACCCAAAGCTGGACGGCAGGGAGGTGTACAACACGGCGATGAAGGACCGACCAATCGTGAAGATGATGATGCAGAACAGCGCACACATCTTATGCCTCAATGAAGCAGACGCATTCCTCAGTCCTCAAGATGATAAATCCAGAGAACTCATCAAGACTTTCATCCGATTCGGGTACAAGGGCATCGTTATCAAGCAATGGTCACCCAGACCAATTGCATGCTTTGTCCGCGGCGTCCTCGTGAGGTTTCCATGGTTCATAGTAAGCATGTTGATCGTCAGGGATGAGGTGAACTCATGCGTCTTGAGATGGTCCACAGAAGGACGGTCGGTCGGCTGCATCAGCGATCCCAGGATGTCGGCAAATGCTCGAGTGACTTCTGGGTTGTCACGCCATCTAAGCTTCTTCAATCCCAGTGGAAGCTTAATCGGATATCCTGATACTGGCTGTGCCTTCCGGTGCTCGTCCATGGTGGAACATTCTCCTCGATGGCGGAAATAGAACTCTTCTTCTTCGAGGTTGACATCGGGATCGACGTGTGCCAATGAGGCTCTTTCGCATTCTGTCAATTTAGGATGAGCTGTTCTGGGATCCTTGTTGCACTTCTCCATGAAATGGCGGAAGTTCTTTTTTGTCTCCACAAGCTCTTCCTCGGCGTCCTTCTTGCTCATTTCTATTTTGAGGTAGATCTCCTTGAGTTCCTGGATGAAGTCGTCTAGGTTCTCAGGATTTGGATACTCCATGGTGACCTTTGGCTTGACGGATCTCTCCCGGAGGGTTCCATGTTCTCCTCTTCAACCTCGTCCTGATCGGTGGAGTGCCGTCGCTTCTTGGTCTCTGAGACCTTTCCTTGTTTTGGTGGTCATTTTTCACATGTTTGAAGAAGGCATCGGCGAACTCTTGGATCTTGCTGCTGTACATCTCAATGTCTTCACGACCGAGATTTTTCTTCATGATCCGACTGTTACTCATTATGATGGTTCCCTCGGAATCAAATGCTGTAACAATGTCCTCGCCTCGATGGTTTGATCTGTCAATGCTGTTCGCTCTTCGGAGAGTCGGATGTCGTAGTCCTGGTCCTTGAGGAATGCCAGGATCAACAAAGCATCTCTTCCTGTTGGCACATGTGTCAATGCGGCTTCTGACGCTTCGTCATCAAGGACAACGTTGTCGAGGCATGCCATGTGGACGCGCACTCTCCCCGAAGGGTTCGACTGGGATCTCCCAGATTTCAGCCCGTGCTCCATGATGTTGATCAGGTTTTCTCCATATGTAGCATGGAACATGAAAGTGATGGGCTTCTTCGCGAACGGCTTGATCTTTCTCTCTTCTTCAATGGATTGAGGTGCCGGCCTTCGCATTCTGGACTTTGCCTG